CTTGCCCACCCACATCTTTATCCCCGGTCCACACCCCCTCTTTTCCGGCAGGCCTCTCCGCCGAAATGCCTCCCGAGAGCCAGGAGCTTACAAAAATGTTCAAACAGGCCCTGAATCGTAGTTAGTCGTGGGAGAAAGTTGCCATAGCATGAATGGCAATAGGCGAAGGAGGGGGAACTGTTGGGGTGGTGCGTATGGAGCTGTGTGACCATTAGTTTTAAGCCGCTCGAAGACACCGCAAAGCAGTAGCGTTCGGACGGGGGGAAGGCAAAATGAGGAAGGATTAGGATGGGATAGGTGATTTTTCCAGGGGTGGGCATCTGCTTCTGGAGGTTATTGTAAGAAAGGAAGGGAGAGCGAGAGAGAAAGGTAGGAGGGCGGGAGGACAAAGGAGACTTCACAACGTGGTTGAGGTCGTCCACGTCGGTCGTGAGCAGTGAGATTCGGCGACCGAGAACATGTGCATGGGGCGAAGAAAGAATAGAAGACTTCCGTGGGATCATCGCTTTCTCTTTGCCAGAGTCAAGGACTTTTCCAACTAGCGTCTGAGAGAGCGCAACTGGCTTCTCACCTACACAATTTCGTATTTTTTTCGTGTGCAATGCTTTCATGTCACGTAAGCACACTTCAAAGATCCCTACGAATGACTATAAGCATTCGAAGAGCGAACATATCGTACTTCTGGCAGCGTCGTGGCACCCAAGCTTCCCTGTAGACTATCTCTTGCAGAGACTCTTCTTATGCCCTCTCCTCCCACCCTCGGGACTTTCCTTCCCGACACGCTTCCCCTAAAGACCCTCCGTCACAGTAATTTCTCCACCTGAGAAGCTTCTCCTTCCAAGCGCAATCTCACGCGTCATAGCAAGGGTATCCGGTAACGATGCGTCATGCTATCTTTGGGAACGCAGCCTCCTCCCAGCAAAGCTGCCGCCAATCTAGGCTTGAGGGAGGGCACAAGCTGTCCAATTGCACTGAACTGTGATAGAGAGATAGAAAAAATAAGCGTGCAATTGACGCAAGGCGTGGCTGTGCAAACTACGACCTTCCTGAGGACGGAGTGACGGGTCGCATTTAAAAAAGTGTCTTATATTATCTGATTACCAGCAGTGCAACGATGAACGTAGTAAAAATACGGGCCGTTATGTAATAGAATCCCAGTATTCTTATGATCCTGTACTTCCCGGGGGGAGCGCACAGGTGAAGAAACATGTCCAAGCCAGCAAGGAGCTGGGTCATGGTGGGTAAGGACGAGCGACGGGATGAGGGAGGGCAAGAAGCAGTCGACTGAGAAGGATAGGAAGACGAGGATTTTGTGGTGGAGGCGGCTTTGACGTCGGCATGCTGTGGCGGAGAACGTGCCATGGCCAACGACGCACCTAATTTTAACCAGACGAGGGAAAGGGGAGGGGGGATGTGAGGATCCTACGGAGATACGAACAGACAAAAGTTGATGTCTAAAACAACAAAAAGTCAACACGCTGATGACAATGCACCCATGTGCAAGGTTGGCACGTGCTTCTTCGTGTCATGTCAGGTCGTGTGCCACTCGTCGCCGGGTTTTCTTCCCTCTAAGCATGGAAACGATCTGCGATATGTCTTCCACGCATACGCCGCTCATAAAGCTGAGAGAAAGTGAACCGATTTCGCCTGAAATTTGGCCGGAGCAAAACCGCAAATATTCAAGCCTCGCGGCGACTACCTTTGGTTCCCGCCGGGACATTGGAGAGATATACACTTTCAAAGATCGCTCGGATCGTAGTCGTTTCCCTGGTCGTGTCCGTCCTTTTCGTGTTTTTGCGGCTGATTGAGGGGCGCGAGTCTGGGACGGGGGAGGTTAACTTTTTTCAATTTTTAGTTCGTTACACCTGCCTGGAGATCCAAGAGCCCGGGCTGCCCACACGTCGCACATGTATGCTGAATGTTTTCTACTGAAATGTTCACTCACTCGTACATGATGTGTGTATTGGTCGTGGTGTCAAGATCTTGTCGAGATTGTTTTGTGTACGGTCGGGAGCGTCGAATTGCCCCGGCATAAATAAGCAGCATAAGGTTTTCTTCAGGCGCGTTCTCTTCTGTCAGCCAGGGCTTTTCTTAATGTTGTGGGTGTCAGTCACTTATCCTGGACGGTGAAAAAGACGTGGCCCACCATTGAAAGTCGTGTCCTGCTTCAATGCCTAACTGGCTTCACCGCCGTTTTGTCACCTTGGCAGAGAAATTGGCGGCAATTTCTTGTGTTTCTCAGACACGGATGCTTCCCATATACTGTGAAAGCTTTAATAAGCCCCGCGCGGCACACCTTACAAAACTACGGTGCTCAGCAATATTTCTGTCGTCCTCCACACGTCGTATTTCATCTTCCTAGGCGCCGGCCGGGGGGGTCGGCACGTTGGTCTGCGTGGAAAGGAGAGGGCAACCCAGAGGGACCACGCCAAAAAGAAGCTTCGATTTCCGAATCATTTGGAGCGCACACCCGCCGATAATGGAGCTTGATAAACCCTCTGGCATTTACCCTGCGCCCAAGAGCCGTCCTCCCGTCTCCTCCCTGTCCGCTCTCTCTCTCTCGTCTTGCGCCCCAGATTCCTACGTATCCCCCTGCTCCTCGGTTTCCACCGTCCTGCCTGCTTCGCTTATGTCGATTCTTTCCACCGAGTCGACCACCACGAGCAGAGGACTGGATTTCATCCCGGAAGCGCCTGTGCTGGTACGGCAGAATGCCTACGTGGGAGGGAGGGCGCGATATGCAGCTGGGGAGAGGAGGAAAGTGGCGAGACGGTGCCGTCAGACTGAATTCGGGGACGCCTTTGTCCAACTGACCCAGGACGATAAGAACGAGTGGTGCCATGTAGGAGACATCACGAGCGAGAAAGAGGAGGACAACAAAGAGGAGGGCTCCAGGGCGAGCGATCTTTAAGAGAACTGCACGGTGGACAAAAGCAGTGGATGATAGTCCTTCTTTGCTTGGATTGCCTGTCTGGCAATCAGCAATAGGACTTTGACAGTGTAAGGTTGACCATGTCATTGCAAAGCGGTATGAAGGAGAGATGTGGTCGGACGAGGAGTTACCTAAATAGGTGCTATGGATTGGCTCAAGTGCGCAGTCCTTTGCAAAGCCACCGCGTACTAGCTGCGTGAAATGTGAAAAAATCGAAAAACTGAGTCAATCGATGACGCGTGCGATGATAGAAATCATCAATATATGGGTTGCCTGAGTCTCATTTTTCTCCTAAATTTTTACGTGCCGTGGTGACTTGTCCTGCTCAATTTTACTATTCGCTCGTCCGCTACTGTATATGTTGCGACGACTGGCAGTAGAGATTTTACTGGAGTCTGCAGAGCAGTTGTAAACTGGAAGATCGACCTGACTTCTTTAAACGTACGGCCGCTGCAACGTGCACGATGCTGCGTCCCAATGAGTTCTGTGCAAGACATTTCATATGTTGCAGATGATGCTTTTTTGGGCGTATAGTAATGTTATTCATGTCGACGCCTTCCACTCTGTATTCTCATAATATGAAAGCCTCTGAGATGAAAGTAAACGCAGATTTTCAGGAATGTGCGTCTTACAAGACTCTGACCTGAAGTCGACCGACGGCAACACGAGCAAAACAGGAAAATTCAAACGTTATCCTATCCAAGCTAGATCACACGCAGATTACGGTTGTCGTAGGCGACCTTATTTTTGCAGCACGTGTCGAGCAAGTCTTCGTGCTCATGTTGTCAAGCCGGGGTATATATACATACCCGGAGTCAAGGAAAAACGACTCTCGCCTGCCCGCCCTGTCGAACTAATGACGGCTAATTTAGAATTGAAGCCGTACAGTGGAATATTTGCTTGCTTGATAGCTTCAAAATGTGTGCCACGCGTTTGTCACGGGCTCTAAGCTGCACGTAATACGCATTCCCGCTCTCGTCGTCGCTTTCGCGTTTCTCGCCCATATCGACAGCACGTCAACTTGCCTTGCTCCTGGAGGCTGAACAAGAATGGAGCCGCAAGAACCACTTCCACCGTCCTATGGTCAGGGCTACGCGCACAGTGGGCAGCATACACAATACCCCTCTCCGGCGTTCCCTGCTTTCCCCACCGCCGCAAGCACGAGTCGCCCGTACCCCTCAACAACCTTCTCATCGATGCCGGTTATACCCGAGGTGGAGCGTGAGAGTGAGGAGGATGCCGCAGGAAGAGGAAGAGGAGGCATATACTCTGCGATGGCGGGCGACGATGGAAGGCGGAAACCACAAATGTATCAAGACGGGTGAGAACAAGAGGGCAGACCTTGCATGCGCACGTTGCTGCTAGCTGTCCCGCCTTGCCCTTTCCCTTTCTATACCTCGCCCCGGCGACTCAACAGACGATCCTCACACTTGTCGATTCGTCATCGAACTTACACTCTCGACAGCTTTTTGGCGTCCAGTACCTCTCACACGATCAATAAACACGAGGTCAGCATAGCCCAGCAGCAGCGGAGCCTCGCCGAGGAGACGGCCATCCGGCGCAGGGAGATGGAGGAAGAAATCCAGGTAGACGAGGGGAGGAAGATGAATCTGGAGTCAGACGACAGGCAGGTGTCTGACTGGGCTGTACCATCTATCCACATTCATCGACGGGACAGGCGTTACACAAGCGCATTTACGCCATCGACGAGAAGGTTCGTACCTCTCTCCTGCCCCATTATTATCGCCCTAGGCCCTCTCTTCCCCTCCTCCTTCCCCTGCCGCTTCTCACTGTTGTCTCCCTGCATATCCCTTCACATTCTACCCTCACCACTCCCTCCTCTTTCCCCGGCTGATCTGGCCTCGGTCCTCGCCCTCCTTTTTCTTTGTTCGGAATGGCCGTAGATCCAACGCACCGCGCGCGAACGAGCATCGACAGCTTCACGTCTTCAACAGAAGATCGGATCGAGGGTGGAAGGGTTGCAGAAGGAGTGGGAGGGGAAGGTGGAGGAGAACTTCGACTGGATTTTGAAGGAGGTGACGG